GGGAGATCTGCACAGACAAACAGATGCACAAATCCCTCTGAGGCGTGTTTTGGCCTTGCAGCCGGCTGCTCTCCGCCACTCCCGAGTCACTCCTACGGCTCCGCTGCCACCGCTGCTGTGCTGGGAACTGGCTCTCCAGCAAGCTGATGGTGGGATATTTTGAGGGGCCGTGAGTCACAGGAACCCAGGCAGCAGAATGCCATGGAATCCCCTTCCCTCGGCATCAGAGGCTGCTTTCCGCTGCCAAGCTGCGGCGCCGCCGTGAGTCAGCCCCGCACGCATTTAGCTCAGCCGCCCTCAAACTGGCATCGCAGACTGTGCTCTTGTCACAGCTAACCAGAGCCCAGCTTGCTCCGTCTGCATCTGGGGGACCCGTAAGACAACCCCAGAACGGTGCAGGGAGTGGTGGTGGCTGGAGGTCAGTGTTGATCAGTGGGAGGCCTGTCCTGCTGGAGGCCGCTTGTTAAGGACCCCAGGGGGCATTTTGGAAGCCCATGGGGATAAGCCCGGTATGCTGCTGAGTTTCGGCGTAGGTGATTCCCCATTGCACTTTCACTTGGATCTGGAATTCCCCACCTCCTGACTACACCTGTGCATAGCGTTGCTGTGCGCTGTTAAACAGCGGCCGTGTTACACTCCAGAGGCGGCTGCACTTTAGCGTTGAGTGAGCCCTGCTTGACTATGGTAGTTTAAGACGAGTGTTGGGCATTTTCAGAATGAAAGGCGGGGATTCAGCCATTGTTAGCTACAGCTTGGGAGCAGTGGACATGGCCACGGGCTTATCTCCTTGAGGAGCAGGGGGCTCTGCCTCTGGCGCCGTTGAGACGCAAGGGCAAGGGCTGATTTATTCGAAAGGCCTCATAGGGGGTTAGATTGCTCCGTGTTTTTCTTTTGTTCATAGCCCTTTATTGTGAGGTTGAGAACACCCCTTCTGGAGTGGGATGTCCCAGTCCATAATGGACCAGCCTGGTTCCCCCAACACACACACATGCGCGCACATGCACGCACACACACACACGCGCGCGCACACACTAGTGTTCTGAAGATCCAATAAGGCCCCATCAGCGGAAGAGGGGGGATCCTGGCTGCTGGGGCGGAAGTCCATGCTCCCCAGCGCAGGGAGCCTGGTGGGACCGAGATGGAGAAGATGCGCTAGGTCGGCCTGGTCCATCCTCCGCTGGGGTCATTAATCATCCCTTGGCCCTGCCCACTATGACGTGACCCGCTCAGCAGGCCTCCTCCCCATCATGTGTGCATCGCACGGCTTCTGCTGAGTTCCTTGTCACCGTTCCTCGGGCAGAGAGCCTGCCCTCCCCAGAGCCAGCCGGGATGAGGCTGGGTGCTGGGCCGAGACTTGGGGTCTGGGCCCCACCGGCTCAGCAAAAAGAAATGGGGAGGAGGGAGATCAGCTTGTGCGATGGCCGCCGTTCTCTGACCGCGGGGCACGGT